AACAGGGAAAAGTTGAAATCTTTCCCTGTAAGAACTAAAACAAGACAAGGATACCCACTCTCATCACTCTTATTCAACATATCGCTGGAAGTTCTAGCCAGAGCAACTAAACAAGAGACAGAAATAAAAGACATCCCAATTGAAAAGGAGGAAGTCAAACTGTCCTTGTTTGCAAACAACATGATCTTATATATAGAAAAACCTAAACACTCCACAAAAAAATCTCTTAGAACTGATAGACTAATTCAGTATATTTGCAGGATACAAAATCAACAGACAAAAATCAGTGGCATTTCTATATACCAATAATGAACTAGTTGAAGAAAAATCAGGAAGGCAATCCCATTTACAATAACTACAGAAAAATTAAACAACTAGGAATAAATTTAACCAAGAAGTGAAAAATCTCTACAATGAAAACTACAACATATTGATGAGAGAAAATGAAGAGAACACAAAAAGATGAAAATGCTTCCATGCTCATGAATTGGAAGAATAAATATTGTATTGTTAAAATGATCATATCACCTAAAGTGATCTACAGTTCAATGCAATCTCTATCAAAATACCAATGATATTCTTCACAGAAATAGAAAAGCAATCCTGAAATATTTGCAAACTATTCATCCAATAAGGGATTAACATCCAAAATATGCAAGGAACTCAAACCTATGTTAACAGCAAAAAATAATAACAATAATAATAATCCAATTAAAAATAAGCAAAGGATCTGAATAGATATTTCTCAAAAGACATACAAATGGCCCACAAGTATATGAAAAAATGCTCAATATCACTAATCACCAAGAAAATGCAAACCAAAACCACGATGAGATATCATCTTAGGGGCTATTATCAAAAAGACACAAAATAATAAATGCTAGTTATGATGTAGACAAAAAGGAATTCTTATACACTGCTGGTGGAAATGTAAATTAGTACAGCCACTATGGTGAACAGTATGGAGGCTCCTCAAAACAATACAAATAGAACTACCATATGATCCAGCAATTCCACTACTGGGCATATATTCAAAGGAAAGGAAACCAGTAGGCCAGAGATATCTACACTCCATATTTATTGCAACACTATTCACAATAGCCAAGATATAGCATCAACCTGAGTGTCTATCAATAGACAAATGGATAAAGCAAATGTATGTGTGTGTGGGCGTGCACGCGTGCACACGTGTATATATAAAATGGAATATTATCCATCCATAAAAAGAATAAAATCCTATCATAAACAGGTACATGGATGAGCCTGGAGGAAATTACATTAAGTGAAATAAGTCAGGCACAGAAATTTAAATTTTTAAATTTCCGTATCACGCAGATATGGAAATTTTTAAAAACTTGATCTCATGGAAATAGAGAATAGTGGTTACTAGAGGCTGGGAAGAATATGAAGGTGCCGGGGGGAGTACAGAGAGACATTAGTTAACAGATACAAAATTACAGATAGCAGGAATAAGTTCTAGCCTTCTATAGCACTTTAGCGTAACTATAGTAAACAATAATTTATTATATTTTCTCAAATAGCTAGAACTGTTTTCTAACATTTTTAATATTATCAACACAAAGAAATTATAAAGGTTTAAGATGACAGATATGCTAATTACTGATTATTTCACATTGAATACATGCCTCAAAATATCACACTATCCCCCATAAATATGTACAATTATTGTGCCAATTAAAAAATAAATATTATAAAAAGAGAGGCATCACTTAAAGAGAATACAACATTGGTCAGAAAGTAAAGTATCTGTTACTGGAGATTTGTGAAATACCATTAACAGATTTTAGAGTGTATAGACACGTAACCCTCAAGAATATCAATTTTCATCAGAATATGATTTGCTGTAGTAATGCAAGTGAAATCTTATGTAAACTACCAACAGAGATGAAAAAAAAACTGTGATCTCTGAAATTACTATGGCTAGGATAAAATACACTTAATTTAGCAAGGCAATAACACAGTATTTCACATTAAATGAAACTATAATGGGTTTTCTATTGTTAAGCATTGTTTCTGATAAATTACTGACATGATAAATATAGAATAATAACCTGAACAAAAAGAGTGTGTACGGCGTGTGTGTGTGTGTGTGTGTGTGTGTGTGTGTGTGTATGTGTATTTTTCCACCTCTAAACTCAACAGCTGCCTGGATGTTAAAGAAAGCAATGCGCTACAGTGGTTAAGCACTGATTTGGGAATTCAAAGACCTAAGCTAAAATGCAGGTCTTATCTCGCTCTTTAGACTTGACTATCCTCATGTCTCTAATGTGCCTTCCACCTCCAAAGTTCTTACTTCTTTCAGATCTTAGTGAAAAAATTTAGATGGCAAAACTGTTTTGTGGTTGTCTAGACAATACAGTCATTATAAAGTTATTCATTCTACATACAGTAAATGGAGCACCTATTATGTGCCAGATAAGTCAGGCACAGAAATTTAAATTTTTAAATTTCTGTATCACCCAGATATCAAGAGTACCATTAATATATGGTGATACAAAAATCACTAAAAAGCATGCTGCTTTCTCTCAAGAATCCAGAGTTCAATAAAGAGGAGCATGCAAACACTTACACTACAATGTGACATTCATTAATTCATCACACTCATTGGGTAACATGCCAGTCACTGCCCTGAGTGCTCCAAATACAATGCTGGGCAAAAATAGCCATAGTACTGTCTTCAAATAGGTTACTATCTATTTGGATATTGGATATTGGATAGATATACATTTAACAGATAAGGAAAGACATACAATATAAGAAGAGTACGACAGAGGGACCTGACCTGGTCAGCGAAGTTTTCCTAAAGAAGTGACTGTTGGGTTAAAATCCAAAAGATGAAGAAAAGAGGAAACACAATTCCAGACAGAGGGGAGACAGCTCTAATGTGAGAAGAAGCTTAAAGGTTTTGAGAAACTGAAAGAAAACCTAACTAGAAGTTTGAAAGAGAAAGAGAAAAAATTGGAAGTGTAGTCAGGGCCCAAAAAATATGCAGGGTTTTGTTTGTGGGTCATGGTGAAGAATTTAGAGCAACATTAAGGTGATCTTTTGAGCAACATTAAGGTGCCTGGGTGACATGATCGGAATTGTATTTTTAAAAGTTACTCTGGCTTCAATTTAGAGAACAGATTGAAAGGAAAAAACAATGACTCAAAGAAAAACATTTAGGGAACTGTTGCTCCTATATCTAAGTGACAGATGATGGAATAATAGTACAAAGTATACAAGGGTTATAGTAAATGAGTGCTGTATCAAGTGTACGAATTACAAAAGTGAAGGCAAAGGTAAGAGATATGGAAAGTTTCTACAGAGGTTATGACTTCACAGTATCCTAGCAAATGAACAGAGGAAACAGGATGTATAAAATATCATAATGTGAAAAAGCACAGCAATTATGTAACTACAAAAAACAGTAATAGTATCCAAGATGAAGCAGTCAAAATCAGAATAAAGGAAGGAAATAGAACTTCCATTTAGTCATATTTATGTTCTCTAAAAAATATGCTATATAAATATCGAATATATAAATTAACAGTAATTCATAAATATATACGAAGTTCATGCTCAATATCTTTTTTTTAACTGATAGGATGTGTATTCAAAAAGTTTGGAGTCCACTGGTCTAAACTCAAGGTGCCCAGGTGGTGGGGAGAAGAGGTTCCAAAACGGAACACTGGAAAAGTAGGCAAGAACCAGGTCATAACGTTTAGACTTTATTCTGTATGCAATGGAGAAATATTTAAAAGACTTCATCAGAAGAATAACCTGATCAGGCTTACATTTCGTGGAGACGAATCTAACACTAAAGTGAGGGAGTATGGAGGCCTATGGAAAACAAGATAAAGTAATCGCAAGAGTTTAGACAAGAAGTGATCACAGCCTGAATTAAGTCAGTGGAACTGAAGAGGTGAGGGCAATTTTAAGAATTCAGATCACAGAATTTAGTGATAATTAAAATATAGGATAAAGAGATTAAGACTGTCAGGTTTCTAGCTTAGGAGCAGCATATCTGGATGGAGAAACGAAGGAGAAAAGAGGTGCTTAGTTTTTCAGTGTCTTCTTAAGAGTAGGTAGGCTAAGCAGAAGATAAAACTTCGGACACAGATTTTCAAATGTCTCCTGACTATCCCGGCTTCTTAGTCAGCTGGATATGCAGGCCTGAAAAAGATAGCAGACATCTAGATTGTAGACCTGGACTGAGGAATCATAAGACTACGGTGGATAGTAAAAGCATTATAGAGCACCAGAATGTCTTGTGTCCACGTTTAAAAATGGGACGCTGGGAGAGCCCAGGATAAAACTGAGCACCCCTTTTCTCCTCCATTTCTTAACCCAGACATGTTGCTCCTAAGCCAGAAACTTGAGAGTCTTAATAAACACTTCTCTTTATCCCATGTTCTAATTATCACTAAATTCTACGATCTGAATTCTTAAAATTGCTCTCACCTCTCCAGTTCCGTCTGATTCCTATCAAAACAGAGGGCTGCAGTTGCGTAGCAGGAAAGTAGTTGCTGCACACTGACATTTCACCAGCCTCTTGCTCATATTTCACCTGCTAAGAACTGCACACATGTAGGAGCAAAGGATCAGGTCCTCCTCTGTCTCTGAGCATTTGATTCTTTTAATTCATCCTTTTAAAACGCTGAAACAGACCAACACTGTCCTAACCCGTGCCCAGTGACACCCTCCTCAAACCCAGCCAGGGTCAGGGGCTGATTGACTCCAGAAGGCTTCCCTCAGCTGCTGTGTATCGGACATCTGCTGGAGAGCCCACAATCACGACACAGCCGGCCTCCCCGGGCTCTGTGGTCAAATAAGCCTGACTCCTACCTCGATATGACTAGCGACCACGCTGCCGAAAGACAAGAGCAACACCGCTACCAAGGCAGTCGCAGGCCGGCTGAGGGAGTAGGTGACGGCCATGTTTGCCGGCTTCAGACTTCCCACACCTGAAGGGGCGGAGGCAGTGCCGTAAAGTAGCCCAGCGGGTTTTTGCGACGCCATCCGCGCCTCTTCGAGGCGGCCTCTGGACCGGCTTTAGGACTCCGCGCTTTTGCGGAGCTCGAGAGTCCGGAGCGGCTGGGACAAGGTAGACCCAGGATATCGACCTTAACTGCGTTTTCAGTTTGGAGGTTGTGAAATAGGTATAACGTTTAAGAAAAGTATTTGAAAGCTGAGCGGAGGAAAAACCCATGACTCCTTAAGCTTTAAAAGTTATTTCTCTATTCCCTTATGTCTTTTTTTTTTTTTTTTTTTTTTTTTTGCAGAGTGCTGCCAATTCTTTGAAAATATGAAGCTGGATGTGGTAGGAAGAACAAGGATTCTGGCACAAAAAGATGATAAATTGGATAAACTATAAATGGAAAATGTGGGTGGGCGCTGCAATTCAGAGGCTTGGGGTCTCTTACATGGTGAAAGGATGAACATGGGAAACTAGTTAAGTTTGTTTCTTGAGTATCTTCCGTAATTATAGAACTAAAGCCTATCTGGAAGAGACACAACTTGTGTATATGTATGGTCCACCATTCTCTTTGTTACGTGCATTCAGTTTTAAGTTCTGCATTTCATCGAGTATGACAAACGTTTCCATGCTGCTTCATAATCCTCACAATTTTAACATTTAATGGTGAGATAAAATTCCATCCATTATTGATGCCTCAGCCAAAGTAATTGTCCCTCTACTGCACAATGCGAAGTTTTTAAGTTTTGCTATGAAATTAATATTGTAAAGAGTATCTTTTGTGCTTTGGCTTTTTAAATCTGTTGAATTACTTTGTTTGTATAATTTTCCTGAAATAGGAATCTGGGGTCAAAATATTCAAAAACATTTTAACAACTATAAATGATGTTGCTTTCCAAAATGAACAAACTTACAGCACTATCAGAATACACAACCTAACACCAAATCATACCATTTTTTTGCTTTAAATTCTTTGGTATGAAATGTTACCCCTAGGTTACTATATTTGTAATTCTTTGGTTACTATCAAGATCTGATGTTTTTCTTGTGTTTCTAAACTATCTTTGTGTCCTCTGATGTAAATTCTTTGTTTACACATTTATGTTTTGCATATGAATTTAAATAATATATTTATAAATAAGTAACATTAGCCGTTGCCATATTTTATGCTATTGCTTTTCCCATTCTCTTGTCTCTCCTTTCCTTTTGTTTCTTTTGCTATTGCACTTTGTGAGAGGTTTCATGTAGTCAAATTTAGGTTTTCCATTATGTGAATCCTAGAAAGTGAATACACTGCCAGAATATCTTCCATTTATTCATTAATTCAACAGATATCTATTGGATGCTGATGATTATGAAACAAAGTAGCAAAGATGAGAAGCCATTTGCTCATTCTGCTCTTTTGCCAGCAATGTTTCACAAAGCCCCTGACTCATTCACCGTTAGCAGACTTGTGGAAGAATGCCTTGAAGACCATGAGCAGGATAGGGAACAGGTTCTCACATCTCTTGCCTGAATCACTGAATTTTTACAAAAGGTAAGTTCAGTGATCCTAGCCTTTGCCTGTTCCTGTACATAAGATAATGTCTGACAAGATTAATGATTATGCCTCAAATTCATGACCAGATGTAACTTCATACCCATACTTTGATGAGACTTTACTTGTATGAACCCATTTTCCTACTGCTATGAAGAAATACCCAAGACTGCGTAATTTATAAAGAAAAAGGCTTAATGGACTCACAGTTCCACATGTCTCACAATCATGGTAGAAGACACAATCTACCTCACAATCATGGTAGAAGACAAAGGAGGAGCAAAGGCACATCTTACATGGCAGCAGGCAAGAGAGCATGTGCAGAGGAACTACCCTCTATAAAACCATCAGAGGCCAGGCACAGTGGCTCACACCTGTAATCCTAGCACTTTGGGAGGCCAAGGCAGGCAGATCATCTGAGGTCAGGCATTCAAGACCAGCCTGGCAAACATGGTGAAACCCCATATTTTAAAATTAGCTGGGTGTGGGGGCGCACGCCTGTAATACCAGCTACTAGGGAGGCTGAGGCAGGAGAATCACTTGAACCTGGGAAGCGGAGGTTGCAGTGAGCCAAGAGCATGCTACTGCACTCCAGCCTGGGCAACAGAGCCAGACTTTGTTTCAAAAAAAAGAAAAATGAGATAAAATAAATAAATAAATAAATCCATCAGAGCTCGTGAGGACTCACTACCATGACAACAGCTGAGGGTAACCGGCCCCTTAATTAAATTACTTACCACCAGGTCCCTCCGTTGATACTCGGGGATTATGGGAGCTACAATTCAAGATGAGATTTGGGGAGGGATGTAGCCAAACCATATCATTCTACCCCGGCCCCTCCAAAATCTCATGTCCTCACATTTCAAAACCAATCATGCCTTACCAACAGTCCCCCAAAGTCTTAACTCATGTCAGCATTAACTCTAAAGTCTACAGTCCAAAGTCTCCTCTGAGACAAGGCAAGTCCCTTCTGCCTATGAGCTTGTAAAATCATAAGCAAGTTAGTTATTTCCTAATTACCATGGGGGTACAAGCATTGGGTAAATACACCCATTCCAAATGGGAGAAATAGGCCAAAACGCGGGGACTACAGGGCCCATGCAAGTCCCAAATCCAGCAGGGCAGTCAAATCTTAAAGCTCCAAAATGAACTCTTTTAACTCCGTGTCTCACATCCAGTTCACATTGATACAAGAGGTAGGTTGCCATGGTCTTGGGCAGCTCTGCCCCTGTGGCTTTGCAAGATACAGCCTCCTTCCCAGCTGCTTTAATAGGCTGATATTGAGTGTCTCTGGCTTTCCCAGGCACACGCTGCAAGCTGTTGGTGGATCTACCATCCTGGGGTCTGGAGGATGGTGGCCCTCTTCTCACAGCTCCACTAGGCACTGCCCCAGTGGGGACTCTGTGTGGGGGATCCCACCCGACATTTCCCTTCTGCATTGTCTTAGCAGAGGTCCTGCATGAGGGCCCTGCCCCTGCAGCTCACCTCTGCCTGAACATCCCGGTGTTTCCATACATCCTCTGAAATCTAGGCAGGGTTCCCAAACCTCAATTCTTGACTTCTGTGCACCCACAGGCCCAATACCATGTGTGAGCAGCCTGAGACTGCACAAAGCAGCAAGGCCCTGGGCCCAACCCACAAAATCCATTTTTCCTCCTTGGCCTCCTGGCTTGTGATGGGAGGGACTTCCAGGAAGACGTCCTACATGCCCTGGAGACATTTTTCCCATTGTCGTGGTGATTAACATTTGGCTTCTTGTTACTTATGCAAATTTCTGCAGCAGACTTGAATTTCTCCCCACCAAATGGGTTTTTATTTTCTAACATGTCATCAGGCTGCAAGTTTTCCTTTTATGCTCTGCTTCCGCTTGAACGCTTTGCCACTTAGAAATTTCTTCCTTCAGGTACCCTAAACCATCTCTCTAAAATTCAAAGTTCCACAGATACCTAGGGCAGGGGCAAAATGCCACCAGTTTCTTTGCTAAAGCATAACAAGAATGACCTTTACTCCATTTCCCAACAAGTTCCTCATCTCCATCTGAGACCACCTCAGCCTAGACTTCTTTGTCCATATCACTATTAGCATTTTGGTCAAAGCCACTCAACAAGTCTCCACAAAGTTCCAAACTTTCCTACATCTTTCTGTCTTCTGAGCCCTCCAAGTCTCTAGGAAGTTCCAGAGTTTCCCACATTTTCCTGTTTTCTTCTGAGCCCTCCAAACTGTTCCAACCTCTGCCTGTTACCCAGTTCCAAAGTTACTTCAACATTTTCTGTTAACCTTATAGCAGGACCCCACTACCTCAGTACCAATTTACTGTATTAGTCCATTTTCATACCGCTATGAAGAAATACCCAAGACTGGGTAATTTATAAACAAAAAGAGGTTTAATGGACTCACAGTTCCACTTGGCTGGGGAGGCCTCACAATCGTAGCAGAAGCAAAGGAGGAGCAAAGGCACATCTTACATGGCAGCAGGCAAGAGAGCATGTGTGGAGGAACTGCCCTTTATGAAACTATAAGATTTCATGAGATTTATTCACTATCTTGAGACTAACGGGAAAAACCTGCCCCCATGATTAAATTACCTCCCACCAGGTCCTACCATTGACACACTGGGATTATGGGAGCTACAATTCAAGATGAGATTTGAGTGGGGACATGGCCAAACCATATCATTAATATAATTTCTGAGCACATTTAATGTAACTTCTTAACACATGCAGAGCAGCCACCACCTATGTTTAAGCTATGGGGTGAAATAATGCTTTGGAGCAATATAATAAACTCTCTGAAAGATTCTCCCAGGTTGCAATACTCAGTCAGACTTCTGAATAAAATTAACTTTAATTATTTAAAAGCCTGTTTTTTTCTTTAGTTGACATAACATACCAGGATATTGTAGCTGGAAATATGTAGGAGGTTCTTGCTCTCACAAACCTTACATTCCAGTAAGGAAAGCAGACAATAAGAAAAAAGAAAAATGAACACAATAAATTATCATGATGATACAAATAAGGTAAGATGACAGAAACTGCAGGGAGAGGGAGACACTACTTCAGTGGGGTGGTCAGTGAACACCTCTCTGCAAAGGTGGTATGAAACCTGAGACCTGAATGATGAGAAGGAACTAGCAATGCAAACATCTGAGGGCTGCACATTTCAAATACTTATTTTTTACTAGTTTTATTTTGTATTAATTTTATGTTTAACTCTAATTATCTGGAATGTATTTTGGTACAGGAGTCCCCCTTATCTGAGGGGGATATGTACCAAGCCCCCCAGTGGATACCTGAAATCACAGATAGCACTGAACCCTATATGTACTATGTTTTTTCCTACATATATGTATCTATGATAAAGTTTAATTTATAAATTAGGCATAGTAATAGATTTACAAAAATAATAATAAAATTGAACAGTTATAACAATATACTGTATAAATCTTACGTGAATGTGATATCTCTCTCTCTCAAAATATGCTGTACTTATCTATTGCCAGACCACAGTTGACCATGGCTAACTGAAATCATGGAAAGCAAAACCACAAATAGGGAGGACTACTGCATATGCTACAAGATAATGTGTGAATTGTCTATTGCTCCGTAACAAACTACTCAAAACTTTGTGATGTGTCCAAGCCCAAGGATGCAAGGGTTCCAAGGTTCCAGGTCCCAAGGATACCAGGAAACAGGATTCCCGGGAGGCCATTGCTATAATGATCTACCACTATTTTTACCAAAACTGGTATTTGTATTAGGCTGTTCTCCCATTGCTGTAAAGAAATACCTGAGAATGGCTAACTTATAAAGAAAAGAGGTTTAATTGGCTCATGGTTCCATAGACTGTACAGGAAGCATGATGCTAGCATCTTCTCAGCTTCTGGGGAAGCCTCAGAAAAGTTACAATCATGGTGGAGGGCAAAGTGGGAGCCAGCACGTCACATGGCCAGAGCAGTGAGAGACAGGGGAGGTGATGCACACTTTTTAAATGGCCAGATGTCAGGAGAACTCAGTGTCCTGAGGACAGTACCAAGGGAGATTGTGCTAAACCATTCATGAGTAATCCACACATCCACCCCCATGATCCAATCACCTCCCACAAGGCCCCACCTCCAACACTGGGGATCACAACCCCACACGAAATTTGGGTGGGGACACAGATGCCGCATGCGTATTGTTATTCAAAAAATTTTGTACATAGTTCTTACCTTTCCCATTTCCTTGTGATACTCCCTTATTAAATTGTTAGAAGAAGTAGAATATTTCAGCTGGGTGCGGCCTGCAATCCCAGCACTTGGGAAGGCTGAAGCAGGTGGATCCCATGAGACCAGGAGTTCTGAGACCAGCCTGGCCAACAGGGCGAAACTCCATCTCTACTAAAAATACAAAAATTAGCTGGGTGTGGTAGTGCATGCCTGAAATCCCAGCTACTTGGGAGGCTGAGGCATGAGAAGTGTTTGAACCTGGGAGGCAGAGGTTGCAGGGAGCCAAGATCACACCACTGCACTCCAACCTGCACAACAGAGCTAAACTGTCTCAAAAAAAAAAAAAAAAAAAAAGCAGTATTAGTATTTCTAGGTATTCTGTTCCTTCTACACATCTATTTTGAGGCCAGTGCCATGTTATTTTAATTATTATTGCTTTTAATCTGTCCTAATATTTAGCCATTAGGGCTAACCATTTCACTGTATTTCATTGTTCACAAAATTATTTGATTTCACCTGAAAATTTTCTAACCAAATTTTACACAAATTTGTTCAAGTTAAAAGAAATGGTACTTGGATTTTTAGTGGGATTATACAAAATCTATTAATAAGTTTAATAGAAACTGACATCTTTATATTTACTCTTCTCATCTGAGAACATGGAGACCTATTTATTTGAGATATTTTAAAAAATTATTTTTGGCCAGGTGCAGTGGCTCATGCCTGTAATCCCAGCACTTTGGGAGGTCGAGGTGGGCAGATTGCCTGAGGTCAGGAGTTCAAGACCAGGCTGGCC